GAAGCCTTTTTGTGTGGCCATAGGGACTGTGTGTGAGGTGAGGACAGTAAATTACCTAGGACAAGGAAAAGGCCACCATGTTAGTTTGTGTTTTTATATAATGATTGTGACCGGCTGCACTAACATCATCACTAATTATTACAGCCATTTGCACATCTCAGAACTTAAACACATAAACTGTGCAAAATCCTTCAAGAATTCCAGTTTCCAACACCTATGATTCCCAGCATTTTTCATATGTGGTTATATTATCCAAAGCAATAGTTTTAGTATGAATCAGCATCAGCGGAAAGTGTCAAATGTAGAAATATATGAAGCGCCAATTTCAGCGGTGTGGGAGCAAGGCCTTATTAGAACAGTGGCCTGTAAGCCACCAGGTGCCCAATGCTGGGTTACCCCCCAAAACGCTCTGCTGTGTGAACATTAGGATTGCAAAGGGGCAGAAAATTTCCGGTAAATTTCTGGGAACTTTCTATAAACTTTCCATGAGAAATTAAGCAAGGGAATTTTGGAAATATTGAACTCCACGCAAGCTGTCAGTATAGCAAAGAAAGCAAACTTGAAGAATACTACATAGAATATGACTTATAAGCAGTGTATTTTGATGCAGATGCTAATTTTGGGGTGTTTTTACACACAAATAATTACTCAGAAGCACCTGGTTACACAATGATATAACTATTAGTGCTGTCAAGATTTTTTTTTTAACCACATATAAGTTCCCTGTGAAAGACTAACCTGCAATCTTGCAAATTTCCAGTTTATTCCCATTAATTCCTATGGCAAGTTCCCTGAATTTTGCAGCCCAAGTGAACTGAACTGAAACAAACCCAGTCAGTCACTGAAAGTTACTTTCAAAGCATCCTGCAAAAAAACAGATGAAAGGAAAACATCACACAGGCTTTTAGATGCATCTTTGTGAGGCCACACCTGCAGTACAGCAATTGCGTGATAAGAACCATGTTTATGTGAGTGTTACCATTCCCTGATACATCTCTCTGATGTTCTTAGACCCTTCAGTTCAGTGCTACGCGGCAGTAACCCAGAGCTGAAGTGCTGCTCCACGACGACGTCAGACGACGTGCTTCCAAGACGCTCCTCTTGTTAAATACTCCATTTAGTAAATCAATGCCATACAGAACGACATAAAGAAAATAATGTCCAGTTTTTAATGCCACTGAATTACCAGACACGTATGTCAGCAACTCCATAGCGGATGAAGACTGTTTGTTCCGCCGACCTGCCTTGAGATTTACCTATGACCCAAACTTCCCTACAAGCAGAATCCCAGGTCAGAATGCATGACGAGGTGTAATTACTCGGATGGATTCCAGTAACTTAACATATTATCCATAGACATTTCGCAATAACATGTACAATAATATGTATATATATTTTTTATTAGTTTCTTCTTTATATGTTCTAGCTGAAAGGCAGAAGCCATCCTGGGACAGTGAAACTCCTCACCTCTTGTCTTTTATGAAAGAGACAAAAGTTTAGCAGAGGGTCACCCAAGCTTCTGGAACATGTGGATGAGCAGCCAGCACCCCCATACCCCCCCAAAACTATCTCTGGAATCCCGGCAACCCAACGGCCCAGCGAGCAGCTGCAGGCTTCAGGAGGCAGCTGGCGTGTCAGATTTAAACACCAGAAGGATGCAGATGGGCAGGAGGCCGGCCGGTGCTTCCCGACGCCCTGTCTGGCGAGGGCCGGGGGGAGACGGCTTCGGAACAATGCCCAGGCCCGGCCACCTCGCCCGCCCCAGAGAGCCTCAGTGAAGCCCTAATGAAAGCTGGAAGCGCTCGTTCTGGGCCCTCTGGCCGCTGTCCAGGCACTGCTCATTCTCCCAGCCCGGCCTGCTGTTTAATCAGGTGTGACATGCAGTCCGGTGACAGCGAATCAACTCACTGCTGCCTCTACAGGCAGGATATAGAATGTGCATCGTAAAAAAAAGCAACACTCACACAGCCGGTGTTTACAGGACAACAAACTGTCACCTTAAAGGTGAAAGCAGAATATTGTCTTTCTACCACAAGTTCTACACTCTCGATAGTAAGTATTGTTTTTTAAACTCACACATTCTAACCAGAGGGATCCATCCATTTGCATTCACAGCAAGTGTAACTATACATATTTTTTTTCTTCCCAGCTTGAACTCCAAAGGCATGCTGGGGACTCTTCTGCGTAATGCCCAAAATCTCTGCTCATGCCCTCTAACCCCTATTTTCACGGTTGTCATGCGATGCAGCTGAGTGATCCTGCCCCCTGCTGGCCCTAACAGTCCTCAGCAGGCGCACCCTAGGCATGGGTATTGTGTTGCCCAGGTCAAAGGGCTGTTTGTTCATCTTGTGCAGAATAGCGTAGAAAGCTACCTGAAGTTTTTAAAAAAAACTGCATTTAAACACAGCAATGATCAAAGTGTGTCAATGATCAAACGTCAAACAGGAAAATCCCAAACTGAGACATTGTACTGCCTGCATGCTTAGACAACCCTGCAATTACTAGGATCACATGACAGTCACAAGTCTCATATGAAGTATTTTGACTGAATGATGATTAGCCGATGCAGTGAATATAGAAACACAAATTAAGGTGATGCTTCAGAATCATTTTCACATGATATTACCACCAGACTTGCAATAAAAAACCCTCATGAAGCCCAATGAATTAACTGGCCAACAGCATGCCAAACACCAGAACGACGGGACGCACTGGGAACAGCTGCCACCTCTTCCCATATCTCACCTTGCTCCTAGAACCTCGTTCTCCAATCTCTCCCTGCTCCTTCACCTCGAGTCTAAAACGCAAACAAGGCGCTGTACCGAGCGTTTGGAGAAACGGCAAAACCGCTCCGTAAAAGGAGCCAGCCACGATCCACGGCGTGAGAGACGTCGAGTCTGGGAACGGGAAAGGTACTGGGCTCGAGTTCAGGGGGACGGGAAGGCCACGGAGCTCCGAAGCCGGCCGTATGGCGCACGGCGGGCTGCCTGGGTGTGGAACCCGTAAGACAGAAACGCTGAACCTCACTGAAGCACCACATTGCTGCTGCATATATTATGCATCAGGGTCTGCTGTAAGGTCAGGGCGTGGAATACAGAGTCAACAGATCTCCAGGCAGTCAGTGGCCATCATCCAAATGCCTTCTGATTCCAGGGGTTTGGGGAAGACCCACTGGGCTGCGTAACACAGCCCATTACAGGCCTACGGCTCCCACAGCCCCGTACTCGCCCAGGTTTGGTTTGGCTTTCAATGCCTTGAACGAGCCAAAGCCTGACAAACACAGAGCGCTATATTAACAGATCTCAGCACACTGTATTACACTGCAGATTGTGGTTTGTCACAGGTGGGAATTATAAAGTATAATAAATATAGAAATGCAAAAAATTATAAAAACAATTAAAAAGTCAAATCAGGGGACAGGAACGACGGGCTCATAAATTTTGATGTACAGCATAATCTGGATTGCTGACTATATACACAAAAGCCCCACAAAAGCATTTTCAAATGCTCCGGCTGTGTTGGAAGAGAGTAAATTGCACATCAGTCAGAGGTGGGGCATTTGAAAACTCTGCTTTGTTAATTACAGGATTGCTGTCTAACTGCAACTTATTGAGCTCTAGCTAAAAGTGTTTCTCAACCTGGTTTTCCGGGACCCCCAGGCAGTCCATGTTTTTGGTCCCTCTCAGCTCCCTGCCAACACTGTCCCCAAGGATCGGCTTGAGAGTCACTGGGCTGAAACCAGTTCACTAAATTCTTATTACAGTGGTACCTCACTCGAATTTCTTGAATGTCGAACAAACCAGTTTGACCTAGAACTCGATCTGAATATCAGAAGTCGAACCGTGAAAGCTGACCTAATATAAATTGTACGCGCCAGGAAATGAGTCATACTACAATGCAATTCTTACTTGAATGCCTTCATCACAGGCTGGACGATTAACCAAACAAAGCAGCGCAACATTACAGTAACTAACAATAAATAAACCACTAACTTACGTGTACTATTAGAGCATTTATGTCATTTATTTAAACTTTATTTTACCAGGTAAATTAACTGAAAACCAGTTCTCACTGCTTTACGTGATATTCGGGAGAAATAGCAGATTACGCACCGGAACTGCCTGGGATACAAACGTCATGCGTGTAACTAAACTCTTCAGTCAATAAGGGCAAAGGTGTGTCGTGACGGAGGCGGTTCCAGTTTGTGCAGCCGGGTGAGAGGTCGCAATGCATCTAACCATAATGCATTGCGTCAGGATCAGAATGCGTTGCTTTAAGCCAGCGCTGTAAGCAAGTCGAACGCACCCAATGACCGGACTGGGGAAACAGACTGAAACGCGGACTTAATACAGAGGACTAATGACAACAACCAGAAACAGCTGATCACATGGGGATCCCACACGAGGTTAACGAGGGGGCGTGGCACACGGAAGGAGCGGACGATCGGGGCAGGACAGGGGTAATGTTGGGATAAGATCTTTATCGTTTTGGAAGTCATTAAGAAAAAAATGCTCTTCTTGTTTCATCCTGTTCATTTTGTGTTTAAATGCTAAAAAAAAAAAAGATCATATTTAGGTGTAATTTTGGGGGGCCGGGAACCAATTAATTGGTTTTCCATTATTTCTTATGGGAAAAATTCAATCAGAACTCGAACTTTTTAGGATTCGATCCGGAGTCCGGAACGGATTAAGTTCGAGAACCGAGGTACCACTGTATTATTGTATTCTGCTGCCCTCTACTGGACATAAAAAACCATGACATAAACCAATGGGTCTGCACAGTGTCTTTACCGAAGGTGGAAAGTTTAGGTCCAGAAAATAAAAACCCAGCCCATGATTTTGTTTCTATCAAGCTGTTGAGAATAAACAGTCACATTCATAGAATATTCAACTGGTTGGTAAAACAAAATCTTGGTCTGGACTTTGACTTTCAGGACCTGAAATTAGCAATCCTTCAACAGAAACCCAACACCCAAGGCGAAGATGTGGACCCAGGCCTACCTGACACTTCCCAGCCACGCAGACAGACAGGCTGCCCCGGCCGCACGGTGTCCCGTCGATGACAGAGTCAGACTGCCGCACGTAGAACCGGAAGCCGACGGCCCGGCAGTTCAGCTCACAGCTCTGATCCCCCTGGACTGCAACAGCCAACAACAGTAGTACAATTCAGACACTTTCTCATACTTTCTTTCAATGAAACTTCATAATAGGTTTCTATAATAACCACAAGGGGGCAGTATTGCTCTAGTTTCTCACAACCCCGACCGCAGATTAATACAAGCACCTTTACACTGGCACTGTAAAAAAATCATGTTTGTTCTTCAAACATGAACTGTAAATAATAATTATTTTTTTACTTTAATTTTGGATGTAGAGTGATTACCCTAAATCTGCAAATTTAGAGTCAAACTAAGCAGTGACTCATTCCCCATCTGAGGGACATGATCCTTGGGGACTGAAACCAAGACAGAAGAAGACGACAAAAAAACCTCATGTGAGAGGCTGAGAGGTAAGGGTCAGGTCACGGGGATGACGGAGGACTGACTCTCCGTCCTCCAGGGACTCCGAAGGGCCACCCAAACCGCCAGCCTCTCAATACATGAAGGACCGCAGATTGCAGAGTCCATGATGGAGAAGAGCCGGCTGATTGGCTGTACGGAGACGAAACTCAAGATGCACTCTAACGACCGGCTAAAGGTACAAAGAGGCAGCACTGCTCTGAAACGGACTGCGGCTGCGTGCGCTAGCAATGTGGGGCGGCAGGAACGGGGGGGGGGACGCAGGTAAGTTAATTGGAGGATCATGTTTGATGTGAACCTGCCCAATCATACTGCAGGATAAGGAACTCTTTTGTTTCGTAATTACAGTCAACTACGTCTAATAGCATTTTTGGGTTGATTACAGAGCTGGGTATCTACTCGCTTTGTAATGTCTGATTGCTTGAGATGACCGGTGCTTAAATAATTATTATAATGAAAAAACTGGGTTTAAAACCACCCGGTACAACAAATACATGAGCATATAGCATATACACACAACATGGAGTGGCTGTAGGAGGTACCACTGCAGCCTCACACCCCCAGGATTGTGGGTTTGAATCCTGCTCCCAGCTTTGAGAGTCTGCATGGACTCTGGATACTCTGGTTTGCTCCCACACTCCAGATTAAGTGGCATTATTTTCTCTTTACTGTCTGTGAGTCCTGTGACACACTGGAATGCTGTTGAAGGTGTCCTGTGACACACTGGAATGCTGTTGAAGGAGTCCTGTGACACACTGGAATGCTGTTGAAGGAGTCCTGTGCCCTGTGCTTCCCAGGATAAGCTCCAGAGTCACTACAACATCAGGCTACCCCCTAATCCATGCCAGGGGAGACACTATGAGCTACTTCAGGTTTTTACAAACTACTTTAAAACTGAAAGACTCCTGTGCTTGGCTAATTAGTTCAATTGTGCTTTTACTGATTTGTGTCCTTTATTGAAAGACTCATCCAGCTGATTCACATCAACATTAGTGACACACGCATGATTATAGGAGACTGACCAATCAGCACACAGTAGGAACTCGGTGCTAATCCGGTTAATATGGTTGAAATAGTAGTTTACAAACCCTGCTGGATTCCGAAACACAGGATAAGGAGTTAATATCCTTTGTGCACAGATGTTACTATTCTTTGTGCAAGCAGGTACAACAGGTTCACTGTTAAGCTTGTTGGTGGATGGCGAATACTAGACTTGGAGAAGCTTGGTATAGGTTGAAAAATTTGGGATGCATCATCAGTAGTTCTCCTCTGGTTCATGGGGTGTTTCGGCTATACATCCTCACCAGAGGCGGCCAGCTATAGGGTGATCAGCCCTAAGCTTGCGTCCCATGCCCAATAAGTCAAGAGAGTCGCCTTGATGTCAGATGACGGACATCTCATGAAACTATATATGACAGCCTAAGCTTGTCACTTAGGAGCCCAGCAGGGGGCATTCCTCTTCAACCAGAGCCACTGGCTGCTTCTCTCTGCTGCCTCTGATGCAGCTTTGATGGCTGCACACTGGCTCTGGCCCCTGATTCCCAGGTCTCTCAGCAGTTTGACGGTAGATGTTGCTACAAACCCTCTGCATCCAACTTCTACTGGGCGAACTTCTATGGTTGTTTTGCTTCAGCAGCTAACTCAGCATAGCATAGATATTTCCGCTCGTATGCCTCAGCTACAGAATCCTCCCAGGGAACGGTGAACTCGATAATGTAACCCTTCCTTAGGGAAGGGGACCAGAGCACCATATCAGGCCTCAAAGTAGTAGTGGCAATCTCTGGAGGAAACATCAGTTGTTGGCCAATATCTACCAGCAGTTTCCAGTCGCGTGCTAATCACAGCTTGCCTCTCTCCGATGGTGTTGAGTAACCGTAGTCCCCACATGGACAAAGGGTATCATCCATGTGGGGTTAGATATTGGTGGTGATGAGGAATTGATGATAGATCGTTTTTCCTCCAATGTGGACGCAAGGCTCTTTAGGACCTGGTTGTGGCGCCAAATATATCGCCCTTGGGTGAGACTGGTCTTGCACCCTGTGAGAATGTGCCAGAGGGAGGCTCTCCTGGAGCAAAGAGCACACCCTGGATCTTCACCAACCCACTGGTGGAGATTGGTTGGTGTCGGCAAGACGTCATAAGTGGCTCTGATGGTAAAGCTCAAACTCCTCGCCTCCATAGCCCACACATCATTCCAGGTGAGGCCACTTCTTGATGTAGGCTGTGACTCTTCTTTCCAGCTTCTCTACTATTGAGATGAGGACCTCATAGACTGAGAGGGGCCACAATGCCCGGGGTAAGAGACCGAACTGGGAACACCGGGTCTTTAATTTCCCAGGAAGTTGGGTATTGTCAATGGACCATAGGCCAGTGTTAATGTCCTTGCATAGTTGCTTCATCTGGCCTCTGTCTTTCAGGTTTGCATCGTAACAACTTCCGCGGCTTTTTACAGGCTGCTCAGATATTGTGGGGATTGGATCATCTCCGATGATGAACCTCTGGTCAGTAAGCACTCCCTTCACCACTGAGATGCTGCGTGACTTAGATGGCTTTACCTTCATCCGGGCCCAACTGATGTTCTCCTCCAATTTTCTGAGCAGTCTCCTGGCACACGGGACGGTGGTAGTTAAGGTGGTAATGTCGTCCATGTAGGCTCTGAGGGGAGGGAGGCGCAGACAAGACCTGACTCGCTGTCCACCAACTACCCATTTTGATCGCCATCGCCATGGTAAACGCCAAGGGAGAGACTGTGCATCCAGCCATGATACCTACCTCCAAGTGCTGCCATGAAGTGGTAAATTCTGGAGTTGAGAAGCAAAACTGCAAATCCTGAAAGTAGGCTCTAACCAACGACGTGATAGTGTCAGGGATGTTAAAGAAACTGAAGGTAGACCAAAGGAGCTCGTGGGGCACAGAGCCAAAGGCATTAGCGAGATCTAAGAAGATTACATGGAGGTCCCTTTTCTCCAGCTTTGCCATTTGTATCTGATACCAGATCATGCTAGCATGTTCTAAACAACCAGAGATGCCCGAAACCCCCGCCTTCTGTACCGATGTATCAATGTACTCATTTCTGTGCAGATACTCGGCCATCCTCCGTGCAATGACACTGAAGAAGATTTTACCTTCCACATTAAGCAGGGAGATTGGACGGAACTGGCCGATGTTCATTGCGTCCTTTTCCTTTGGCATCAGGACTCCACCTGCCCTACACCACACTTTGGGTATTGTCCTCTTCTGCCATACTGTTCTCATGAGCCTCCAAAGAAACCTACAAACATCTGGTGCATTCTTATACACTTTATACGGGACTCCATTTGGCCCCGGGGCTGATGCTGTTCCCGCCCGATGGACTATCATCTGCACCTCTTTCCATGTTGGAGGGTCAGTCTGAAATTGATGTTCTGGGGGGTCGATTGGTGGAATGTCTGAGGGGATGGCTAGCTGTTCATATCGCCTTGGATCAGAATGCGTTGTTCTCAAGTGCTCCTCCAGGTCATTCTTTGTTGTTTTTAGAACTCCACTTTTTTCCTTGGTGAAGAGAGTCTTTAGGAATTTGAAAGGATCTTTGTAGAACTGACTTCATGTTTGTTCTCTCTTCCTTCTTCGTTTCCGTAGATTCTTTGCCCTACGGAGGGATGCCAGACGGGTTTTGATGTCAGCTTGGAGAGTGTTTATGCCCTCTTTTTCCACTTTGTAACTCATGCCGTCCCTCCTGCCATGGGTTAGGTGGTCACCCTACCACAATCCACAATGAATAATCATTTATAGGAAATGGAAGGATATTATATGAAGTATTATTTCTTACTTAAATGAGCTAAAAACTAATTTAATGTAAATGTACCAAAGATGGACAGACACCGCCCCCCCCCCCCCCCCCCCATCTACCAAGGGAGACCAGTCGGCAAAATAGGGGTCAAGAGTCTCTGCCACTGTTATTTTGGGGGTCGTGGGATGAAAAGGTTGGGAACCCATGTTCTAGAATCTAGATCTTGAGCAAGAACAGTACACACTGTATCACACTGATGTAGCTCTGAGCTGATTTACAGTGATGCTATTGATACAAAGCCGGTATCAGTGCTGGGGGAAAAAACCTGAACAGATGAAGCACATTCCCCACCGCGTGCTTTGGAGATCCACTGGCGGCAGATGGCATGGTTAGTTTAAACCCAAGCCAAAGCCTTGTCAAGCTCAAGGCAGGCTGGCGTCAAAAGCCTGACCTGTCTCCTCGTAAACCCGCCTCACGCCAGCCACCGATCATGGCCGATTAACTTCTGCTTAGCTGTGCGACGGCGCACCGCCTACGGGCAGAAGGCCCACTGTCATCAGAGGTGGCTCATAGGTAGCCTGCGGGCGGCAGATGGAGGGACTCTAGGCTCCTGGCTCTCCTTCCTACTGCATCTTGCAGTATAGGGAGCAACCCCCCTCCCAAAAGGTTACAGTAGCAGTCAAAAGTCTGGACACGTCTGCTTCTTATGCAGTGTTAATTTTCTTGTAGAAAAAATTTTCGTCATAGTTATCGTCAATGACCTTTATTTTCAGACTAAAACGAGACGATAACTAAATAAAAATGTTTTCGCGACGCCTAAGACTATGACAAAGTGTATTGACAATTTCGTGAGCGAATAAAAACTAGACAAAAATGTTTGCCAAAGAAGAGACCCAGTCAGAACTAATATAGTTCTCGTAAGGCTGGGATCAGTTAGAGAAAATTTCTTGAAGCAAAGGTCCGGAAGATCATAATGTCTAACTATTTATTGTGATATATATATATTTAAGTAGCCTATTAGTTGTATCAACATCTACTAAATAAAGGTAGGGCAGCATTTCAAAAAAAGAGAAAATAAATAAGATGTGGAAATTGTGCATGTTTAAATCTAGTTTTAATATAAATACATACGAACTTATCATTTTATTCGCTGTTAGAGTAGGATATGGACAGTCATATTATTTTGAAAAGATATAAAACGTGACCTGTTTTTCTCATATTCATTTTATATTTGTCGGAGTAACAACGCAAACGGAAAGACGAGCCGTTTCAGGCGAAAACAGCGCATTTTACTTTTTATTTCAAATAAAACGCGGGGTTGCCAACTTCGGCCAGCTGGCTGGAGTGAGATTTTCAATTTGAGATGTCTGCACACATGTAACAGTTCTTACCTTATAACTAGTCTGCTTCTGTATTTTACCGTGTAAATACACTTTGGACGTAGCTAATTTTACGTTTATAATAGTATAACGTAGATTTCCCGTGTGAGTCTGAAAGCGTGAGTGTCATGCGCCAGATGCTTGACATTTCACAACCCTGAATGTACATTATTTGATTTATATAACAAATAACATCACTTAATACAGTTGTTAAAAAGCGGAAACTTCAACAAACATGAAATCACCAATAAACTACGTCTACAAATATTTATTTTAATATTTCTATTCTAATATATCGAGAGAGCAGGCCTGGTAGAATTATAGCCTATGCACTTTGAAGTGATTTTATTTTTGCACTAATGGCACTACTGATTTTACAGTACTCAGTTTCTGGGTAAATAAACATAAGTTTGTGTTTCAAATAAGAATGAAATCTGAGACCCTTCAAAACAGCCTCCCTTTGCTAAGATGACAGCATTGCTGACTCTTGGCATTCTTTCAACCAGCTTCCAGATGTAGCCACCTAGAATGCTTCTCCAACAGTCCTGAAGGAGTTCCCACAAGTTCTGGGAACAAGTAGACTACCTTGCTCTTACTCTTTGATCCAACTCATCCCAAACCAGCTCTGTAGGGTTTAGGTCGGGGCATTGTGGGGGCCAGGTCATCTACCACAGCACTTTACTTCTTTCCTTGTTCACAAGCTAATGCAGTACTTACATAACATCTAGGTCTGCTTAGGGTCATTATCTTATTGCAAAACAAATTATTTTCAGTAGAAGTGTCCAGACTTTTGACTGGTACTGCAGGTGCATGTTCACTTGCTTTTGTTTATTTACATAGTGAATGTGGTTGAGTCCCACGCTCTGGGAGTATAGCGACCCTTGTGCACAGTGGGGCAAGCTGGCTACATCCTGCCTGCCAAAATAGTCATTCAAGGTCTCAGAGTAGCAAATTAAAGTTAAAGCTCTCTGTCTGTTTCTGTATCATGTGTTTTTATCTGAAAATAAATGCATTGCTGCATTTTTTATGCAGCTTTGGACCAACAATAATGCTATCAACCTTTATGGATCCCGTCGTAAGCTTGAAAGGTAATTATTAGTGCACTTAGACAATTGGGTGAGAGGCATCGCCTTTGGGGTGTGTAGGGGTAAGTTTATGGGTGACACTCACCTTCATTGAAAGGCTCCCATTCGTAGAGGCGGCCCATGAACGGGAAACTGTTGTAGGAGGAGCACTGCACCTCTCGAATGCCCCTGCTGGCCGGTGGGCAGGTCTGCAGGCAGACGGGAAGACAGCTATAAACCCAAGGACCCCCCTGACCCACAGTGTGGCCTGACCTCTGGCTTTAAGAATGATTTCTTGTATTCCTTCTGCATACTCTGTCTCCCTCCCATTTTCTGAACTGCAGGAGGTGCACTCTGCATCCCAATCCCCCCGTGGGAGTCAAGGTTATCCCTTTACAAATTACCCACAATACTTAGCAGACAAGAAAACAAAAGCTTGAGCAAACGGGAGTGATGTGGCTGGCTGTTGTAGAGTGCAGGCGATGTTATGGGAAAGTCAGTTTGCATTTCTCACTCATACAGTCAGCTCTGGGGAGACTTTCTGCATGATCATTCCTGTCAGCAAGAGAGGCCTGTATTTACGGCATCTCCACAGAAACACATCCCATCTCAAGTAGCCCCTGTGGTTGCAAACAATTGCACCCCTTCCCCTGCATAAACAGCTCATCAGTAAACGGGTTCCAACAACACAGAGATCATAAATAGCAACGGTGGAAAGTTCAGGTTCGCAATGTACAAATCCAGACCAAGATTTTGTTTTAAGCAACCAACTGAGTATAAAGAGTCGATCACGTTAATAGAATGCTCAACTGGTTTGTTGAAACAATATCTTGGTCTGGATTTGTACTTTCTGAACCTGCATCCACTCTGAGGAATGGTGCTCTTACACTGGAGTTACAGAGCCGGTGATGCTTCTGGGCACCAGCGCACGACGAGGCTGGTAGAGGGTTGTAGGTTCCAGCCCAGAAGGACTGAGAAACTGGATGCAGGTCCTGACGGGGCTGGTACAGGGGCACCCTGGCGGAGTCAGTGCTGGGCTCCAACTCTAGTGATCTCTGATGGCCGCCATCGTAGCCGTATCGGGGCATGCGGTACGCGTAGCTCTGCTGCGGGCCCCTGTGATTGGCTGGGGACACCTGGCCCGACCTGGGGGGCTGTCGCCGAGCTCGGGTCCCTCCTATCTCCAGGCTGGTGGGCTTCCTCAGGGGAACGATGAAGGGCATCCTGCCATACCCATAATTCCCAGGAGCGATTCTTGAAGCGCCCAGTCTCCTGGAAACATTCACATGCCCTTCTTGGTACAGAAAACAGTAACCATTCATGCAAGTACTGGGAATTTTAGAAGATATGAGGAGGGGGAGCAAATTGTCATCATTTGTCAATACCCTCGCTGGAGTAAACGCTGAATGAGGGAGGAGGTTTGGAAGGACAAACAAAAAAAATTTGTTAGCATCATTTATGGCCATACAAGCTTGCTCACTAGTAGCTATTTTCTGGTTTTTCCCATTAATAAGCTGTCATGGACTTTTAAAGCCTCTTAAAAACATCCAGAAATAAAACAGACCAGGCAAAAATAGCACATTTTTGGTCCTTATTTGGACCAGCAGACCCTGAAGAAATAATTTATTAGCCACACTACACTATTTTGTGCATGTTAAGATGGCTGTTGTTTCATGGACTGAATTCCTAATAACTTCTGGTATAGATAAATATATAATCGGTCCTATCTATCCATCCATTTTCTATACCCACTTGTCCTATGGAGGGTCGAGGGGGGTTCAGCCCCAAACATACGGGTGCAAAGCAGAGAAAAACCAATGATGGGGCGTCACCCCATCGCGGGGCACTCACACCATTTAAATCGCCCCCAATGGGAAATAAAATGATAATGATTAATTGGATAAGAGTTGCGTCAGGTGCTATTGTGTCATGTTTGGGGGGGGGGGGGCAGTGGAGTCAGTATGCTGAAAAGCTACTTCACCTGCGCCCAGCCGGGGGGTCTCCCTGCCGGGCCCTCAGCTCGCCAAGGTACCGCTGCCCCACATTGCTATGCGAGGGCAACAGCGGCTGTGGGGCTGAAGCTGGGTGACTGGGAGGGGGGGGGCGGGGGAGAGCCCTGGGGAGAGCGTAAGGGGGCAGGCAAGGCCGCGTCTGTTCCTGGACCCCTCCACCACATGAGCGGGAGCAAGCAGTCCAGGGACTCCAGGAGCCCCACTGCCCCCCAGAGCCGAGAAACGCTCCATCCTGGACCCCTAGGTCCACCTGGGCCTCCGTCTTCCTTTGGACCTGTAGACCCATGACAAGGGCAATAGATGCTCAGAATAGTCAGATATCTTCAGCACTTCCTATAGCGAACACTTGTGGGGTACCTAAGGACACTATATAACAGGGTCACATCACAAAGTCAGTCTCAGTAAAAAGTCACTGACAGGCAGCTGTCTGCCAGACGAGAGCCAGCTGATCCCAGGCTTCAGCCTGTGTTTGTGTGAAGACGGGTCCTGTGCTTTTATCCTGCTTTGCATACATATAGATGCGTGTGGGGCAGAGCTTAGGGGAGAGAGCAGAAGGCGAAGCCAGAGCTGGGGCTCATCTCCTCCTGCCAGTCAGCCAGGGCCAGCTGGCAGTGCAGAGAGCTCTCAGACACCCCCCTCCCCCAGTAGACCTTGGAAACTCCACTCCTCTCCGCAGGGTCAAACGTGGGTCAAACTGTCGGACAGAGGGACCTTTCCAGGAGCTGGAAGACAGCGTGTCGCCAGATGGAGACAACTACAGTACATGGGACGCCCTGGGATTGGTTAGAGTCAAAACTCCCACAGTGTCCAGGGCCATTTATCACCCAGGGTGGGTGTATTGGGGGTGAGGTTAAGCAACCAATCTGATGCCATCGCCTACATCTGAAGATCTCAGCTCCCCACTGATCCAGTCTATCAATGTCTTTCTCATCTCCCACACCCTCCTTTGAGGTCAGATTTAAGCTCGCGCACGTCTGAAGATCATTTACACAAGGGATGTTAGCTCATCACAGGAATTCCTCATCACCGCGGTTTGTTTTAAGGCATGGAAACAAACCGAGTAATTGTTTTGCGAAAAACAAATTGAGTCACGACCGCATAAATACTTCAAGAAGAACAGTGACAAGCTGCTTCGATGGTTCTTTATAAGATTAGGGATACCGTTAGCTTTGCTACTATTGACAGGGGTGACCCTGCTGGCCTGGAAAAACTCAAACACACCAGGTCCCCCAGTTTGAGCTGAGGAGTGGGACTGGAGCAGCCCTGTGTGTGAGTTGCCCATATAGGTAGATGTGAGGTGGACAGGAACCAGGAGCCCAGGACCGCATAGTCACATGCTGCAGCGCGATACACACTTACCCTTCTTTGCTCTGGTTCTGATATGTGCTGAAAGTCCACTGGTTCGGAGCAGAAGAACACCAGCAAAATCACGGAAAATCTAGATTTAACAAGACACCCATATTAACTTATTTTCTATAGTGACACCACACTATTGCAGTAATTAATGGTATAATGAGATATTTGCATTACCTGAGTGTCTGAGCACAGGTATGTAACATAACTTCCAGCTTGTCTATAAAACACGAAAAAAGATAATCATCACTGGAAAATCACGGATAGGCCTAGCCACTGGGAAACAGAAAACATACCAGTCACACCGGCACAACAATTTACTTAAAATAATCCTTTTTGACCAAAACACTTTTTTTAAACTAAGAAGTACCATAATACTATCTTCAAAATGCATCCTCAGTTATTCTGTTAAAACATCTATGCTGTGAATACGTTCCTGACAGAGTCTATCACTTAGCACACATACCTGTCCAACTAAGGAACGGGGCGTCAGCACGTGCAGTCAACCTGCAGGACCGTGACGTACAGAAAAGGTGATGACATGTGGAAGTACAGTACAGATAGAATGATGACATTTTGTGGAAGTGAGGCAAAGGAGAGTCAAGCCGAAATGGTATGACAATGACGGAAACTGGCAAGACGCTGTTGACGGACAAAAGCATGATATTCACGCAAGTGCACGAAATCGTGGATAAACGTGGAATAAAGTCTGCACCGATTACTTTTTGCCCCCCATCAAGAAATTACGAAAAATACGAAAACGCCCCTAGACATTTGCAGACAGTGGCAGCGTGTTAAAAGCAGCCCGAGCGCATCTTTTGGCCGCACTTCTTCTGTATAACTAATGAGTTTCAGCTTTGAATTTCAGTCAAGTTTGTAAATTTGCCCTACAACTTTCCTACAAATGCTGCTCAGCCTGGTGGACTGACAGCTGAGGAACTGGCTGCAGGGACAAACAGGCAGCAGAGTCGGGCTGGTTTGTTCCTGCAGATGCGGGATTAAAACCTGAACGTTCAGGAGGGCGCTTGGGGTATGAGAGGGTGCTTCGCTGGAAAAGTGACACCTTATTGTCACAACAGAGCATCATACCGATCATTCTGACGAGACCGTCTTCATAAAGAATGTTACTGATCAGACGCGCGCTCATGTTCGCTGAATGGGCAAAAAACGCCATGAACTAATTAACTAATGTAACAATAAAGACACCATGCAAAAGAAAACCTCCGGATGCCGTCACATAAATAACAAAAATAAATAAATAGGCTACTGCGTAAAAATATGCCCAAATTTTTAGTGCACGTTTGCTAAATTTAAAGGTAGACAGACCGATCACGTTACTAAATTACAGAACTACCCGCTAAATAAAATAAAGGAAGATACTGCAAGGACTAAAAACTGGGGTATTAATGGCACTGATCGCCCTACTACAATGAATTATTACTATTTCCATTTATTATAGCCCACGAATACTGTTGTACAAGTATTTAAAAACTTTTTACAGAATTACTGTAACATTATATTTAAAATATTTATCCATGAAACGCAGAGTAATAAAGTACTGATGTGCGATTTTACCCAGTGTCCGGACCTGGCCTCTTAAACACCTTGAGTTAGAAGAGCGGCACCTTGAAAAGCGGGATGGGGTCCTGCGCCGGCTCCGCTTGGAAATCCAGATGCCTTTAGAAGCGCACACTGCTTAAAATTTAGTCCACTGCCTGGAATAATCACACTTACAAAATCATTCCTACATCCAAAGCAGACGCAGGTCACGTACATGAAGGGCACCGGCGCGCGTCTGGTGTACATTCTGAAGCGCGCTTTCACCAGGACAAAAACAGCGTTTTGCGCCCCCTGTCGCTGTTTATAGGTAAAGGTCTTGTGTTTTTCAAGGGAACATTTTAATCGAATTTTTGGTTACGTGCATTCCTGTTTTTCCGGACTGCTATTTCAACATTGGAATACGCAGCTAGTGCTATAGCAGGCTTAACATCATACACTGGCATCGATAAGACAAAATACATTATGACGCTAACTCTTCTGTGACATCCCCTAATAAAAAATAGCGGAAACGTCCTCTGGTCACCCGTACTCCCACCGCTAACTACATATAAAGTCGAACATGATGGAAGAGAAAAATATGGGTCAGGTGCTGGATTCCCGCCTGGTTTTCTCTTAAAATGTGAACCCGACACACTCCCTCAGAAAAACCCACGTGCTCTCCCAGCAGTGGGGAGAGGGTCCCTTCAGGTCTGGTGCATGGTGATGTCAAATCAGTTACAGACACTATTACATGCTGCTTTTGGAAAGACGACCACAAAAACCTCGAGTAACCATGCACGGGCGGCAAACGAAAATTCACTTAAAATAAACAGGGAATCCTTTATGTAGTCCTTTATGTTTATGTAAATACGACTTCAAGTACGATTCCAATTAAAAACCAGCCTAATGAGGACTTTCAGGTGCCTTGCTCATTCTCATCGCCCTTACAAAGCTATATATTTAAGTTGCTGCTCTGTGCTTTTAGTCTCCTTTTACAGATAGTCCAGCAAGGCGATTTGTAGCGAGAGCCCTCAGCAGCCACCAGCCTTTGGTTACTAAGAGCGTGTTTTCAGCGCCAAAAAAGCGGTAATGACGGTCCGATTCAGAGTGGAGCGCCTCAGGTACCAGACCGTGGAGCCCGAGCTTGTTTTCGACATTGGGCATGCAGTGCTGCCTGAAAGTCTCGCTCTGTTAGCAAAAGAAAAAGAATCCCACCCAAAAGGAGAAGGGTTTCTGGGGGCCCGAGGTGCTTTGTTCCACTAGGCCAGTGGAGTTGCCTAATTTGACTTGATAAATGAACACCATGCTTCACTGAGCACACCCCCGGCACGCCACCGCCTGCAAGGGAGACGTCTGCAGCGCAGCTCGGCTGAGAATCAAAGCCTGCAGCTCATCCGCGAATATTTTTGGTTTCAGTTAGAAGCTGCTGCATTTAAGTCAAAAACTGTATTCCCCCCACTTTTTCACAAATTTTCCAGTTAGCCCCTACATCACTGAGCACAGGTCATGGGAGACTGAACCCAATTAGACAGCACTAATGAATCCCAGAGCTAGATGATCTATTCACATAATAGCACGAGGATTCCGAATGGACCGATGTGTGTTTCTTTGGATGCGACTGAGTAGCAGCAAGGACCCAGCTAACGTTAAAATGCATGGCAACAACACTATCCACCTGCAGCACAAACATCCTGAATGTTTTCAAGGCCTATCTTCAAACATTTCCATTAAGTCCTGCAGTCACATTCAGGTGAATGTGTCACTTCAGTCCAAAACAGATACAGTGGTACCTCAGAACTCGAATTTAACCTGTTCAGAACTCCGGATCGAATCCTAAAAAGTTCGACTTTTGATTTTTCCCCATAAAAAATAATGGAAAACCAATGAATTGGTTCCTGGCCCCAAAAAATTACACCTAAATATGTTTTAGCATTTAAACACAAAATGAACCAGATAAAACAAGAAGAGCATATACTGTACTAAACACATCTAAGCACATTTATCAAAACCTATGGAAGAGGATTAGGGCCATCATGAAAATATTATTTAAATTCTGACTTTAATCTCAGAATTCTGACTTTAATGTCAGAATTCTGACTTTTTTCTCAGAATCCTGACTTTAATCTCAGAATTCTGAGATTAAAGTCAGAATTCAAATAATATTTTCATGGTGGCCCTAATCCTCTTCCATACAAAACAGCAATTTGTAAATTAAGTAAATAAATTTATCCAAACAATGTGTAAAGTTAAAAAAAACAATTGGTATTTTCTATAACCTCGTCTGCTTCTTCCGTGTGCCACGCCCCCTCGTTAACCCCGTGTGGAATCCTCGCGTGATCAGCTGTTTCTGGTTGTTGTCATTAGTCTACCGTATTTAGTTCCCGTTTCAGTTTGTTTCCCCAGTCTAGTCATTGTATTGTCCGTCTGCGTTTTGCCTGCCTTACCTGTAATTAAACCCCGTATTCCCCGATACCCTGACGTCTGCGCCTTTGTCTCAGTTCCGTCCCCACTCGGCACGACAATATTATTATAATTAAACGTATTAATGGTTTATTATTAATATTAAAATAATTAATATTTTAAAATATATTTTATTATATAATAATTACTGTTACTGTCTATCATTGTCTAAATTTTTACTGTCTAAATATATGTATTCAGCTAGTGTAAACATGCACGATGCTATCACAGCGAATGCGAGGCTGAGACTGAAGCATGAGACTGAGGTACCTATGTTTCAGCTGAGACGTGACGCAGGACTCATTTCTCCGCGCATACAAGCTATCTTAAGTTGGCGTTCACGGTTTGACTTCTGATGCCTTGTCCACACGTAGACGGGTATATTTTAAAACATACCTTTTTCTTGGGCTTTTGTCCATATGTAAACCGCGCCTCAGGTCACTGAAAACGTAGCTTTTGCAAAACTCCATCCAGGGTCAGGGACGGATTACGGACCGGGCCAGCGGGGCCGCTGCCCAGGGGCCCTTGGGGTGCAGGGGGCCCGTGGGGCCCCTAGCCCAAAACAATTTGCAACGCTTATCAACAATGTATTTTCGTTTGTCTATTTTAGAGGGCCTACATTCTTTCATCATCTGCCTACAAGGGCCTCTGACCCTATATGGGGGGGGTGGT